GTGTGATCAACTGCATTTATTACTTATTATCTTAACGTGTTACCTCTCATAAGGTGTTCGCCACGTGCACAAAATCTGCAACCAACAAAGTTCTGGACTAACTTTGTAGTGTCAGTTGCTATGTCAAGCCGACATAGCTTATTCTAGTCACCGGACAGGTCTACTTATTCATTCTTGTTGAGCCACATTTTGATCTTATTATATATTCGCTTGTCGATATAGACAATATTGTTATGTAAGCGTATGTGTGTACATTTCCTATCTTACTCATCACATGTCTGTAACTTATCTTTGTCTGACTATAAATATCGATTCACGCTTGGTTAAATCAAGTTCGTTCACCTGCCTTCTTCAATCCATTTTACTCCTCTCTCTCTCTCCTCTTCGCTTCCATCGCTCCACTTCCCTAATTATCTGTTTAGATCAACGATTGTATGAAATATACTCATTTAAACTTCATTCTTGTATTTGACTTATTTAATCCCTATATTCACTAACGTGATCTAAGTTGATGATTATATACAACTATTGACGGGATGTATATTTCGATGGCAATCATCCTATGATTTAAATGGAGTAAGACAATGGGTCACTAAAACCTTTTCAATCACTGTCATATGCTATTCATGCTTTTGACATCTGGCTCTGAGCCAGATACCTGAAATACCTGTAACATTGATTGTTCTCTAAGATTCGACCCCGTACAACATAAATGCTTTAAATTTACTGCTGAATGGCTTAACTTTTGTCGGGGGTGATGATTCTCTTAAGTTCCAGATATTTTCCCATTGCATAAATCTTGTATTTTACTTCCAGTTTCATGTGTTCACATATACACCAAATCCTTCTTGCTTCCTAGGTACGTCATGACTACTAACTTTCCCAAAGACTTACTATCATGTATGCTTTGGTTGATGCGCACTGAGTGGTACTTCTGGATGTTGCTTAGATCTTAATGAAAAGATGGAAACACATCCATTTTTAAAATGTTGCACAAAAATTAGGAAATCGTTTTCTCATTTCAGATTGGCTCATCTTTTTATTCTAGTTTTACCCTATAAATCAATTACAAAACCAGATTGTTCTAATTATGAAATCTATTGACATTTATAAAGTTTAGTGTTTTGTTTGTTTGTTTGTCTGTCTTTTTCTTTGGTATTTTATCTATTTGGCCATGTGATATCAGTCTAAATTGCAAGGAATTTGACCTTCGAATGTTTTGGTTGATGACTTCAATTTATAGAATGTTCTTTGACCTATCGGTTGTATGAAGATTATCGTAAAGAAAGTCTGAGAAGTCAATGTTTGTATGGATTAGGGGATATTTCTTGTTATAACTTTATTTCATCAATAATTTGATACTTACTTACTTTAGTATCAGAAAGGGTTTTGTGGAGATTGTAGTAATTTCAGTAGTTGAGATTATCTAACGATGTCTATGTCTAACTTCAACTAATCCACAATATTGAGCGATTCATCCATCATTGTCTTCAATGAGTTACTATTATATCATAAAAGATCTGGTTGAAATCCATTGGTCACTGCTTCTTAATAGAACCGTAGGAAATACCTCTTGAAGTCAGTCACTATTGAACATATGCTGATTAGTATCAGAAGGGGTTTTGCAGAAATATATATCCTGGAGTTCTAGTGAGAAGCAGTGACCAGTGGAGTTCAACTGGATCTGATGTGAGATAGTAACTCACTCTTGACAATGGTGGATGTGTCGCTATACTTCGTGGATTAGTTGAAGTTAGACACCGTTGGATGCCTGCCAGCTCACTGGTCTAGTGGTTAAGCGCTGGCGCGTGAGACTGATAGATCCTGAGTTGGAATCGCGCGAGACGTGGTCGTGGATTCGCACTACTGGAGAGTCCCTTAATAGTAAGAAACGGCCGTCCAGTGACACCAGGTTTCCTATGGTGGCCTAGCTTCAATTGACTCATGATCTCAACTATTGAATTTGCTTATTTTACTTACGACTTTTATTCCACGTGAAGGAACATAGGCCGCTCAATATCATTCTCCATCCAACTCCGTCCTGGATATTCATTATTAGTTCTTATTCATCCTTTTCATATCTGCTTCTATTTCTCGACGTAATGTGCTCATTTGCCTTCCTCTTTTCCACTTCCCTTCAAGATTCCAATTTAGGGATTGCTTCGTGATGCAATTTGATGATTTTCGACATATATGTCCTAACCACTTTCAGCGTTATTTCCTAATTTCCTTCTCAGTCGGAACCTGGCTTGTTCTATTCCATAGTAGGCTAATGTTGATGCTATCCGGTCAATGGATATTGAGTATCTTCTGTAGACAACTATTTATAAATACTTGTAACTTGTTGATGATAGTTGTGGTAGTTCTCCAAGTTTCAGCTTCATACAGTAGAACTGTCTTGATATTCATGTAAAACACCATGTAAAAAAACGGATTATTTAGGGAGATTTATGAAAATTCCTACACAAATAATGAGTGAATACTGTGTCTGTAGTTGCTAGGAGAAAAAATAGTAAAACACGTAAAAAAAGCATTTTAATCCTGAGAAAAAATATGTCAGTTTTAAAACAGATTGTTTACTATCCATTGGGAAATGTAAAGTGATGAAGTGTTTTGGGAACTTTTGTTTTTGTATACTCATTAAAGTTAAATATGCATGAGAAATTCAATTTAATTTAATTCTGTGTATAGTGGAGATAAACTATAAAAAAGAGCTTGGTATTGTTTGGCTTGTATCTTCCCATTGAGGTTTAAGACTGCAATCGATCAGTCTGTTATTGGCATATGTACATACTGTGCGTATGCCTCGATATTGTTTTAATCCACAAGCTTTTTGTAAGCGATGATGAATCCCAGAGTGAACATCAACTCTGAGATGCAGGTACATCCAACTGACGAGTCCCAAATAGGACGAAAAGCGCGTCCTGGATTCCACTGCTAGCCATCATTGCTTATAAAAGAGAGCTCCTCAATATTCAATGTTGTATTCAGAATGTATTACTATTTATTAGATAGTTAAAGTCATAGTAACCAAAATCACTTGAATGGTAATATGGTGTGTACTACTAATGTCAATAGATATAAGTAGTATGTATCATCAATCGATAGTGGAATGACTGGAGGCAGAAGATTAAGAAGATCGAAGAGAATAGAACGAAAACAATGAATGATTAGTGTGGAAATGAAAGAACAATGAAGTTTGAGACAATTGATTGACAGTTTGAAAATGGACTATTTACTGTACAGATCTCAGATGTGACTAAGATTGTGTTCAAATGAATCTGATTCCTCCCACTTCTATCCTCGTTCACTGGAGATGTAATCATAGAAATACTGTAGTGAACAGAACACGGATGGGAACAATCGAACGTGTTTAACATGAAATTACAGGACATGTTAACAAAATCTAACAATCATGAAGTAAATGCTTAATTTTCAAAATGTCCATCAATTGTCTTAAAATGACTCAGGCTTCATTGTTCTTGCATTTTCATACAAATTGCATCCTGTTTTCATTCTTTAATGTTCGATCCTCTTGTCTCTCTGCTGCCAGACCTTCTGTTCACGACTAACATCATATACTACTTATGTCAATATAAGTAGCACACACCACAATACTATTTATTAAGTTACGTTTCGTCCCGTAATCTTCGTTTTATAGATTGTATAACTGTTGTTGTAATCCAGAAAACAAATAAATGGAAAAAATATTAGATTATTATAACCAGCAATCGTAAAATGACATTCAAATAGGCTTTCAAACTCACCTCAGTCATCACTCTTATGAACTGAATGATTGTGACTTGAGTTTAGAATATGTGAATGAATAGAAAATTTCTTAAATACGAAGATGAGATCTAACGTGACTAGATCTATGAAATGACTAATAGCGGAAGAGATTTCAAAAATGACAAACTGAGCCTGAATGATAAGATAGAGATGCCATATCTTGATAACAGTAAATAAGTGTTAACGTTATTATTTAAGTAAATTGTTATATTCAGATAAGAATAATGAATGGTAACGTTTGGGATCCATTTATGGACCAATACTATGAGTATATTTTTATCGTGTAATTGTTATGTAACTAAACTGTTCATATTCAGGTCGCTCTTATTATAAGCTTTAATTTGACCCATAGACTATTACTATACGATTTGCCATTCATGAGCTATGGCCTGTCTATTAATTACCATCTCTCTCATTCACAGCCACATCTGGCTAATTCTTGTACAAATGTTGTTTCCTATATTATGGTACGATGTGGTCTGTCTGGTTGGTATATAAACCGAGTATGTTTGAAATAAATGGTTCATATTGCAGAGACTGAGACTTGCGTTCTGGACTTAACTGGCTGGGCTAGACAGGAAGGTACACCAGTTAGGACTCTAGGCTGCTCGCACGTGTTTCATGCGTCACTGGTTCGATCGGTAATTCGCTGCTCTCTGATTGGCGTTATCGTTGTGTTATACAATAAACAGGGCACATAAGCTCACAAGTTATAACATAAATAATCTCTAAATAAGCTTGAATCTTTTCAAGATTATTCACTTCTTCACTAAAATCACAAATTCATGACATTCTAGTCGAACAAATAACCTTTAGGTAGGTATCATCAATGGAGTTAGATGATGGATTAAATATACTTACTAGAGAACTGTAAACCACTATGTGTCAACTTATTTATTCAATACATGAGATTCCTGATGATCCTGAGTTTGATTTGTGATGGAATCGTGTCTTGTCTTTTAAATCGTAATTGTAGTGCTTTACTGAAGCTGTACTATTTAAAGGTTCTTTTCCATAGAAATTAGTAAAAGTTTCTATGATCTTAATTCTTACTACTGAGCTTTCTTCAATTATTCTATATTACGTAATCTATTCTGTTTCCATGCCATTCTGTAATATTAAATCCATATGCAAATGAATGTTTAGACAAAGTTAGAAATGAGTATCATTTTGTTCATTTCATGAAGTGTATATTTTTCCTTTATTTACAGTCATATATGCAGTAAATACAATGGAAAACCGGTATGTTGTCCAGGTTGGAGAAATGGTATTGGAGCACCATGTATAATACGTGAGTTTATTTATTTTATCGTTTTCTTTTTTTAAATAAAAAAAATGTGAATGAACATTACCTGTCTGATCAGATTGAGTCGATCTAAGCTAGATCACCATCAAACATTTGGAAACGCTGGACAGCTGTTTCGTCTTAGATCCACTTATGATGAATTCAACTATTAAAATTACTACAATCTCCACAAATCTCCATTCTGATAATGATCATCATGTGCTCAGCAGTGACTAACTTCATGATGGATTTCATGAAGTTCTAGAAGAGAAGCCTTAACCAGAGGAGTCCAATCCGTGCCAGTTATAGACAGTTATTCACTTCAAACACTACATAAATGGTTGTGTAAAATCATGGATCAATTGAAGTTAGATATTAATACCGTTGGATGCTGGCTCAGTGGTCTAGAGGTTGAGTGTTCGCACATGAAACTCAAGATCCTAGGTTTGAGTCACGAGTGTGGTACCATAAATGTTCAATGATTGAGGAGTCCCATACAAGAACGGAATGAACGTCCAGTACTCCCAGGTTTTCACTAATGGTCTAACGTTTTTCTATTCATGGATTTAACTATTAAAAATAATTCAAAGTCATCATATTTGTCTGAAGATTTCAAAAACTTAGGATGGGTTATAAGTTCGTGGCTGAACGGTAGTCCTTAACGTCTGTCAGTTTGTGATTAAACGATTACTAAATGAAATCAATATCTCTTGAATAGCCAGTGAATAAATCTACAAACTCAATGAATAAAAATCTACTTTTTGAAATCATGAACCAGTCTAATGTAGGAAACCCATTAGAACCTTTAAACACTGGAGGAACATTTCATGTCAGTATTAGACTCCTTACCAATGTGCACTCTCAACTTCTCATTCAAGAATCAGACACAGAATCTTTGGTTTCATTTACGGACATTTAACCTCTAGACTATCGAACTTGTATTAACGAAGTTAATCAGAGTTTATTCAATTTGCAATGCTGAACGATGATTTTCCTTTTTCCTGAGTGGATAAATGTTTCACATTCTCAAAAGAACTCAGGAGAATATGATAATTTTCAGTATGGGGTTGAATTCTATTAAAATTGTAAACTAATCTTAGTTCAAATTCACTTGGTGTTGCTTTTATTTGTGTGTTCCCATTGTTATTTAGGGTTGCGATTGATCAGTCTCATGTTGGCATATGTGCATCCTGTGCGGATTGCCTCGATATAGTCTTAATTCATTAGCTTTTTAAGCAAAGATGGATAGTGATTAGCAAGTGGAATCCAGTTTGACACGCGTTTCGTTCTAGTTGGGACTCGTCAGTTGGATGTATCTACATCTCAGAGCTGATGTTCACTCTGAGACTCGAACCCAATACCGTTCACTAAAAACGTCATCGCATTATCCACTTAGCTACTGAGTCGTGATAGCCACTTGTTTGTGCAATGTGGTGAAGTTTAAATTCGCTTGGTCTTGTTTTATTTGTATCTTGCCATTGTTATTTGAAGCAAACGATACTGAGTTCGAGTCCTGGTGTGGATATCAATTCTGGGATGCAGTTACGTCCAGCTGATGAGTCTGAAATAGGACGAAACGCGATTCAAACTGGATTCCACTGCTGTTTTACTGTCCATCTTTACTAATCTTCTTTCACTTTGAATGTATTAAGCTGAAATCAAGCTAATCTAATATAAGAATCAAGTTGTCTAATTGAAATTTATTGCTGAAAAAGTAAATTCGACTTTTTTTCTTCCACCTATGGAACTGATATTAACAAGTAGATTTACATAATTGTCTAATATGTAAATCATAAATTGGAAAACATGAATTTTATAAACGAATTATGGTAAAAACATGATACCCTTGTATTCTACTAACAAACAGCATTATATAAATGAAGAAAATGCAGAAGAATAGAAACATGTTGCTTAAGACATTTCTTTATTGCTTTACAAAGAAATCGACCAATATTTATATTGTGATTAAAGGAGGATCAATGCAGGATTCATAGTTCACCATAGTTCGAGCCCCTAAATGTTCTGGAATGGATAGAGGGTGGGGAAAGTTCTCTCTCTCTCTCTCAAAATGATCTCATATGGCCACGCATATACAGCCACTAACAGGAAAGTCCTAATCACTGAATTACCACGACATTACTGTTGTTTACAAAATTAAGTGGATGAAAAGCGAATGTCTGGTACTATAACTGGGTAGGTGGATATGAAGGATTTATCTCGGGGAGTTGAAAAACCTTTATTCCTAACCAACGGTGCACATTGGATTCAAGATTCTAAGGAAACAAATTTCGTATGAACCTGTTGTTGATCACCAACTACCATAGGTGAGGTTACTCTACTGTCTTGTGGATCAGATCGTTTAGGTTAAAGGCTCCGTGTGTGGCTCCTTAAAAAACCACGTGGTTCGGTCTGGGCACCCGGGTAGTATCTCAGCCCACACACAAATCCATTGACTTGTGTGGTTCATTTGTATTCGGTGCCTCTGATTAATAGAATTCAGTCAGCACTAAACGATCAGATGCATATAACATTGGTCATTACTCAGTAATAAATTATACACAAATATCTTGGTCTTACAAAAGGATAGTAGTGAATAGAATAGTGTAATGGTAACAACTTAAATTGTGAAGCTGCATAAAATGTTTCTAAATCCTATAGGAAGTACTGTAATGAACAGTTGATAAGCTTTGAGGTAATATAAGCTGTTAGCTAGTTGTCCTGTTGTGATTTTGCTGAGGACGTTAGGTCCACAGAACTTACTTGGAAAAGGTCCTAATTTTATTCTGAAAATTTGAATTTTATGTTTTCGCACAAAGAGACGTTTTGTTGACCTACAGCTTACATTTGCCACTCGGAACTTCATTTATTTATTTATTTTAACACATAGATATTGGTTAAAGGAGGCACCAAATACATATGCGCCACACAAATCTTATTTGATATGAGTGAGGGCTGTGATACTGCCTGGGTACCCAAACCGAACCACGCGGTTTTCTTAGGGGGTCACATCCGGAGCCTTTGACCTGAAGGTCTCATCCACAAGGCAGTAGGGCATCGTAAGGAAATGCAGTCCTATGGTAGCCGGTGATCAACTATTGGTTCATACGCCATTAGTTCCTTCAGAATACTGGAGCGCATGTGCACCATTGGTTTGGAATCAGGGTTTTCCAAATAACTCCCCTAGATGGGCTCTCCATGTCCATCAACCCGGTTAGAGCGCCGGACATTCGCTTTTCGTCCTCACAATTTTGTAAACAACACCCCGCCACGGGATGGCAATGGGTAGGACTTCCCTTGCAGAAGTTATATACGCGTGGCCATGTGAGAGCTTTTCGAGAGAGAGAGAGAGAGGACTCTCTCCACTCTTGGCCGTACCGGGGCATTTAAAAGAAGCAGTAAATCGAAATTCGCTGCCAGGAACTCCTTGACTGTCATTAGTTGATGGATTTTTCTTACGCTATTTTGTGTCTCTCCCAAGGGCGGTACTGTCATTGTATAAATAAGCTTGATTTGTGTGCTTAGCTTCCTCGTATTTTCTGGGTGCTTGTAGAATATATTCTCTACGCCTCATCAGGACTTCTTGATCTAATTGGCAGGGCCGGAGAAAACAGATTAGAATAGACTATCGTGCCACTGTATCTTTCACATTCCTTCAGTTTACCGAGTAAGGTGAACTCGTAATAGCATTCAAGCATATCAGATTTTCAATAATTCTTCAGTTGACGTTAGTTGGTCATAAAATTCAAAATCAGAATGAAAAAAACTTCACAAACCATCTATTTCAATAAGTAACATTGCTTAAAATCAAAATGTTGATTATAAGTCATTCACCATTAATTTATATCAATAGCTTATAATGATGACTCTTCGGTATGAAGTGGGATAATAACTAATTACTGCTCACTGACAAATGAAAGTCCTTTGGCTAACGTGTGATTCGATTGCCAATTGTGTAGCTTAGACGAAATTACGCCATCGTACACCATTGTCTTCAGTGAGCTGATATCTCACAACAAACTTGGTTGAACTCCACTGGTCACAACTTCTCACTAGAACTCCAGGAAATGCCTCTTGAAGTCAGTCACTAGTGGGCAGATGATTATTATGAGAAGAGGATGTTGTGGAGATTTTAGTAATTTCAATAGTTGAAATCATGAGTCAGTTGAAGCTAGCCCACCATGGAAAACCTGGAAGCAATGAACGGCCGTCTCGTCCTAGTATGGAACTCCTGGGTTCGAATCTCGCGGGGGCGGGGGCGGTATCATGGATGTGCACTGCTAAGGAGTTTCACAGTAGGACGAAACAGCCTTTCAATGCTTCCAGGTTTTCCATGATGGTCTAGCTTCAATTGACTCATGATTTCAACTATTGAAATTACTAAAATCTCCACAAAACTTTCTTCTGATAATTGTGTAAATTTACAAGAGAACACATAAAACGTTGTTCAGTGCTTTTCCAAACGTCTTATCAATTCTCACTAAACGATAATTTAGAGAAGATATTTGAAATGGTGTGTACATCTCTAAAGAGTGTTCTATTAAAAGTTAATTCTATAGTCTTCGCTTGCTCTTTGTTTGTTAAGTGTTTTGTCTTCCTACAGTCTACTAACCCGAAGATGCACTGACTGTTAAGCGTTGAATATTTTTCTAAAACGTTAATTAGACAATCTGAAGTACTTTTCATTATAAACTTGGGTTACATAGACTGAAATTAGACTATTCAAACTTGTATATTAAGTTGAGAAGTTATAAATGGAATCACATAGTAAATTTCAACTTACAATAGATCATACAGTAGTGAACAAGACCACCAGCGGGGACAATGGATTGCATTAGAGTACAACCTTACAGAGCTTCTTAATAAAATCTAAGAACTACATAGTGAGTGCTTAATTTGCAAAATGTCCATCAATTGTCTCAAAATGACTCAGGCTTCATTGTTCTTGCATTTTCATACAAATTGCATCCTGTTTCCATTCTTTACTAATCGATCATCTTGTCTCTCTG